AAGAAGACCCAGCGTGGACCTTAACAACGCGTGAGGAAGGAGGCGGGAGGGAAGCAAGGAAAGAGGCGGCCCTGAGCTCTGGCCGCCAAGCCTGGGTTAGTGCTCCCAGTGCAGCTGACAGCTCCAGGGCTGGAGGCCGAGCTCCACGCTGCTGCGGAGGTCACTTCAGAATAACCCAGGCGTCCGCCCGGCAGCTTGGATCTTCCGCAGCCCAGTGGGAAGTGGGTCCTGTCTGGGCCACCGGGGGGGTCCTCCCCCGTGGAGGCTCAAGTTCACCTCCGGGCAGGTGGCCCTGAGCTCCAGGACGGGGTGCCGGCGAGGAAACCTCTGGTCCCCGAAGAGGAAGGGGCGGCCCTCTTGCCGAGGGTCTGCTGCTGCGTTTGCGAAGGAGCCGTCCGGGACTGTGGGCGCCGCCAGGTTTCGGACAGAAAAATGCTCCGCGTGGCTCTCAAAGACTTTCCGTCGTCCTTCAGTTCTTAAGTGTGAGGCCCCCAGTGCTCAAGGCGATTCTAGGCGGGAGATCTCCATGAGGTGGGAATGGAAATGAACATTTTATTTTAAAAAGAAGCGGGGAGAGGTGTCAGGGAGGGCCTGTGAGGGCCCCAGGGTTTTAAAGTCGGAAGCTGCTGGGTCCTGGGAAGGCCGGTGCCGGGGTGAGTGTTGCCAGGTGGTGGTGGTGGGGTGGGGAGTCCAGGAAGCGCAGCCGTTTCCGGGTGCAGGAAAAGAAAGGGCTCACCCCAGCGTGACGAGGGGCCCAGCAACCCGACTTGAGGGATGCTCCCGATGATGAATTCCGGGCAGGTGACTTCCTCCCCAGGCCGCGCCCGGTTAGAGATTGATAGGTGCCTGCCCCTCTTTTTTTTTTTAAAACGAGAAGTGGAAACGTCTGAGCTGTTTGGGACCTGTGGCTACATGTTTCCCAGCAGCTGCCATCTTGAGCTGATTTTTAAAAAACGTTTTAATCGGCCATTTCGCCTGCAGAGCCTGCCTCGGAGTTCTGACTGGTCTTTGGCTAGCTATAGAATTTTCTAGAAAATGCGTGGCCATCAGTGCAAGAAACAGGAGTGCTCTGGAGATACCCAAGGAAATGCAGATGGTGGAAAGGGAGAGTGGGGGAAGGGAGGGGCCGCTGGTGCTGGGGCTCAATGAATGGCCGAAGCCCAGGTGAAGGCACGGAGGTGCCCTTTAATTTGAAGCCCTACGGACTTGTGGGGTGCGGCCCTTCATCTGTGCTATTAGCTCCTGTGTCAGAAAGAACTTTTATCGATCTGCTTCTTATTTCTTACTTATTTATCCTGCTCCAGGAGAGGGTTTGAGGAAGACTCTATAAATATGGCCTCTGGCCCACTCTCCCGTGAGTCTGCACGAGGTAGCCAGTTCCGTCTCCCACGGAGAGTAACTAATAAGCCAGGATGGGAGATGGTGCTTCCGGGGAAGTGGCACTTCCTGTCTAGCTGAGTGGCATGCAGAAAGTGGCATGCAGGTCCTGCATCCCCACATGCTGCCTGGGGCCTTGGGAAAGTCCTGCACCACTTTCCAGGTGGGCACAATTCTCCTGGGGCCCCAGCGTGAGGAACTGAAGTCCCCAGACACCCTGGAGAAAGGAAAGCGTCTCGCTCAGAGGTTCTCCTTGAGCTGTTCAGAAGCGAGGTGAAGCTGAACATTCAGTTTCCCTTTTCTTTCCGGCCTCCCTCCCCAGCGGTCTCCTCGCCACCACACGCGCAGACACGACAGAGGAGACGGGAGTGAAATGATCCCGTAGCACAGCAAACCCGCAACGCTGGCCTCGCTTGCCGGAGGTGGGGCTCTGCCCCGTCAGCTCTGTGCCTGGTCCCATCGGCTCTGTGGCCTGGCAGAGTCGACCCCCTGCGCCCTGGTCAGCCTGCTTTTCTGTGACATCGCACACCCTGCGTGGCTCAGGAGGCCCTGCCCCTTCGGGAGTCGTCAAGACTAACCTACCAGCGTGGAATTCACGGCATTGGGCCCGAGACCCTTGGTTTTTCCTGTGAGGGTGCAGCCCCCCAGAAATATAATTCATGGGTGGAAAACAAAAACGGAATCTCTGTACAGGAGTCCTTCAATGGACCAGGGCAAGGGTGGGGGCTGGCTTCTTCCCTCTGCACCCCGATGGACCTCCCGTCAACTTACTAACGTTGGTTATGGTCCCCAGCATGGTTCCTGGGTTTTCTCAGCGTGAGGATCTCCCAGGTACAGGGGAGTGGAGAAAGCAGAAGGGGTTCTTCCAGGTCATGGCTGTGATGTCCTGTTCCCTGTTCCTTCTGGCCAGCGAGCAGATCTGATGGTGGAAGGCAGGGCCTGCCTGCGCTGACCTGTGTGTGAGGAGCAGTAGGACAGGCGGCAGCCTCACCTGCAGGTTGAGGTGGGCAGCCACAGGACGGGCTCTGGACGGAACGTTCAGCTCCATGACTGCCCCAGTGACGGACAAGACTCCACCCTGGCTCAGTGCCATCAGGGTCTGTGACAGTGGGTACCCAGTGCTCCCCTTCTCCCCGCCAGAGCCAGTCTGGAGCAAACCCATGCGTGCCGCCATTGATCCCGACTGCTGTGGTGGGCCTGACATTCTTCCATTCGGTTAACATTCTGGCAAAGGACTTCACGTAGGCCAATGGCTCCCTCCCCCTCTGGCGGGGTCTGTGGAGGCCGACCCCACACAGTGGTTATGTTTAGAGTGTGTGTGAGGCCACGGAGGGGCAGCTGTCACACAGTAGTAATCTTCATAGCATGCTAATTCCTTCTGCGCCTGCACGTCCACGTTCAAGTTTGATAGTGCTTTCTGTGTGGATGCTGATATATGAAACCCTAGAATTTCCTGGAATTAAAATCCCAAACGAGGCAGCCATTTCTTTTAAAAAAGCCTTTGCAAGGTGATTCCATCTGACTTGTGTTTTTAGAACTTCCTTGGAGCAAATATTGCCTCATCAGTGGTTCTCAAAGGGGTTGGGGTTTCAGTTTTGGCCCCCAGGGGACAGTTGATAATGCCTGGAGAAATGTTTTATCTTAGTGACTGGGGGTGGGGGTGGGCAGGGGGGTGCAGAGGCCAGGGATGCTGCTGAACATCCTACAGTGCATAGGGCAGCCCCCACGACAAAGAATTATCGGGGTCTCAATGTCAGTCATGCCTTGGTTGACACCCCCCCCCCGCCACCCCCCCAGAGTTGCCGGTGTGGGCAGGGCACCCTTTATGCAGTCCAACCTTGATATCACCATTGTTGGAGTCAGGCATTCTCACAGACATCTCATCTGGCTTCTGAGCGGACACGAACAAGGATACCTTTTCTTTAGGGGCGCAAACTGAGGCCAATGGAATTGGATTAGCTGAGGTCCTGTGGCCGGTCTGCTTTGCCAG